ATCGGCAATCGTGAGCTTACTTGCAAAAGATGATGAACCCCTTGCTATGGACAGAATACTAAAAAATTTGAATGTGATGTTGATGGCTTTGAACGCATACTCATTCCTTTCCATGTGGGATGAGTTTTCAAAAAAAACTGCTACCGGGCGTCGACATATACGTTCTGCGCAAACTCAGAGGTAAATTATAAATCCAAATTTATTAAATGTAGTATGCGCCGATACAGGAAAATATAAATATTTTCTTTTTTCAGAACCTTTTTCAGCTTCAACACGTGAAAAACAATTTTCCTCGTCTACATTCTGCTCTGGAAGAACTGAAGTTTTTCACCAAAGATACCAAACAGCAGACAGAGAGCAAAACCACAGGTATCCCAATATGAACCTACACAATACGACCACTATAGCCTGAATCGAGCGAGGTGGTCGCTTAAGGAGGTGCTGTTACTGTAGGATATATATATACACGCTTTGGTAAATTTATATATACACCATTTTACCGTATTCTTAGAAGTTCTTTTGCAAGGGATGCAAGATGCAATAACACAATTCAAGAGACAATCTCAAAGCTTCAGACAGGTACTGGAAGTTTTCCATCCATTCATCTCCCTCCCTCCCTCCTTTCCTCCCTCCCTCTCCCTCCCTCCCTCTCATTCCCTCTCCATCTAAACAATTATCCATCCATCTATGCATCCATGCATGATCCATCCATCATCCATCATCCATCCATCCGTTCGTCCATCCATTCATCCGTCCGTCCGTCCATCATTCATCCATTTATTCATATGTCCATCATTCATCCATTTATTCATCCATCCATCATTCATCCATTTATTCATACGTACATTTTGACATATTTTATATTCATCGTGACGTCATATTTCTAATTTTCGTCTTAACGTTGTTTTCCTACTGCTCGGCACACACAGATAAATACATCCAGCTGTCAAATGGAAATCTGCGTGTTTACGTGCAGAAAATCTTCAAATGTTACGCGAAAGATAGAGGAAATTTCTAGTAACTTAGATCTGGGAAGCATCAAGGTTACGTATGAGTAGGAGCCTACATAGCAAGCATTTAGGGGATTCTGCAGGGACTGGGAGCATGAGGCGAAAGCCGGAAGAGGAACTAGTCCCTCTCTCTACTCTCTCCACCCTTGTCCCCCAGAAACTCCTTAAGGGCCTGCTATGAAAACTACGTATCGGGGGATTTCACTGCTCACGTCAAAGGGCGAGGGGAGGGGAGGGTGGGTAAGGTGTAAGAGATTCTTTTTAATTCTTTATACAGAAAATTCAAATCGCTGCTGTGGTGGACAACACAGAAGACCAAGACGTGCAAGAGGATTATAATAATAAAGGTAAAGTTAAAGTTGAGATAAATTTTTGAATTAAAATTGCACATGAAGTCACGTCATTGTCGTCACGCAATTATATATGACACTATTGGAACCAATCATAGCGCGCTAGGTCACTGTTAAACCAATCAAAACATTCGTACACGGCGACGTCATGGACCCGGTACAAAACTGGGGACATACTTTGAACCAATTATGCAGACTAAATACAGATTATTATTAAAGCGCGCAACAACACTGCTTATCCAATCAGAATGCTCGGACGCAGCACCATTACGGTCACGATACGGTCAGCACCATGACCTATGTTCAACCCTAATGTATAAAATCCCATATTTTTCATCGTAAGACGAAATTCGTTATGTGTTTTCTCATAGAACAAGAGACAAGCCCGTCGAGTTCCACAGAAACTGGAATGACAGGATGTGGTATTGTCGATACAATTGTTTTACAGAAAGGTGAGGACCAAACACTCAAAAACCAGGGACATGCCTATGCTAAGTATGACTGAATAGGAGACGGGCCGGGTCAGACGGGCCGTGTCTATTCCCCTCCTTCAGTCCCATTGTGTAATGTAATTTTAATTCTAATAAATAAATATACGAGAAGAAAACGTATGGCATTTTGTCGTTTTAATTTTATCTCTGTTGTTAAATTTAGATCCTTCAAGTTTTCAGAACTTTTTCAAAACTTGGTTGATTGATTGTGAAACGGATCAAGAGCATCTACGGATCGAACTACCAAGTCCTTGTGCTCTAAGTAAGTCTGATCTTAGGAATCAATCAACATAACCATCATGATTATAACTTTCATTATATTAATCATCAGTAATTGCAAATTACTTCATCACAGTCCACCATCCTGTCCCGCGTTAGAAACAGAAGTAATATTTCTTTTCTCTTTTTAGATGAAGAGGATATGATTCTAGAACCAATGCATAATAATACTGTAACTTTGAAGTGTGATCTTCACGAGAGGCTTATTAGTCCTTCCAATCTCCCCTACCGCTCACAGTTTGTAAGTATTAAAAAAACACATCCGAGTCAGACTCGATTATTAGCGTTTGAAAGCCTTTCTAATAAAAAATGGGTGTGGCACCTATATTTATGCGTTTATTGTTAAGCTTCGCCTTTTACTTTTAGAAATTGGGCTAGCTCTCTGTGCTCCAATCACATTATTATCGTTATATCCTTCATTTGTTAGGAGGTCAATGCAGAATGTGTGCCCGTTAACAAGTCATGGGCCTGCAATACTAAACAGAATGGTGTCAATAGTTATCCAGTTCACACCATGGCAGTAGATAGGCTTATCAAGAGAGAAGCTATATGCGAATCAGTGGTATGACAGAATCATTCTCTTGTCAATATAGTCTATTTTTTACTGAATACAGAACGAGTATACTAATAAACGAAATTTGCTTTTCTTTTATGACCAACGACAGATTTTTGGTATGGTAAGTCTAGTTTTCCGCATTTAAAATAGATCTAGTGAGTGATTTGAAAATCGTATCTTTGCTATAGACCCCTTACAGCAAACAATAGGTTCCAATTTCCAAGAGATTAGAATTCTTTTGTTTTGTCCCCCAGATCGAGCTGCTCTGACATCACATAAAAGGGGTCTATATGTAGGTAGCAATATGTATGACCTGTAGCATACTTAATCTTTTCTGCAGCCATACATTTTACGTCCCACAGTATGCTGGAAGCTCGATTGGGAAGAACTCGAACGTAACCAACAGTATTGTCACGCCTTGTGTCATGCTTTACAGGAACGGGTATGAATACTAAATTATTTATTTTCAATATGGCTGACATGCTGCAAATAAATTGCCATCAAGTGAACGTGATGCATTCTGGTATAGAATGTTTTGTTCATCATGCCTTATATAGTATTGTTTGGTTGGACGTAGTACATTGTGGTCTAGAATCTTTTGTTTACCAAGTCTTATATTGGTTCGGGTGATCATAATGAATTCTGGCATCTTTCGTTCGCACGTGTTATAATATTCTTTGTACCGGAGATTTATTCCGAGTTTTTTGATCATCATATTTTATTGTTGCAGGATTTAATGGTTCTCTTAAAAACAAAAACTGATACAAAACAAGGGCAACAACCAAGCCTTCCTATTGGCCACTTTATCCTGCTCCCTTCGCACGGCAACACCATGTTACTCAAGTCAATAGCTACTAATGAACTGATGTTACCTGTAGACTTAAATCAACCGGTGGAAGGACCTAACATTGAAGCCACTGAAATCATTGGTGCTTGTCTTGACCAGGTAAGGAAATCCGTAAAGCATCAGTCGCAGCTATGCATGGGACAGAAAGATTGGTCTGGATCTAGTGATGACCTCTAGTATGCCTCGAGTAAATCTCCTCTAGTTCGAGTATCTTTACAGGGTAGTAACTCTCAATTAAAAAAACACACGTGAGTGGAGTTGGTTTGACATGATGTTATATTCCTTCCTGGATTCGGGGGGGGGGGGGGGGGGGGGGGGGGCTTCTCATCTTGTTCTACAGTTTTCTTCTCGTCGTGAAAATTAAACGCTCGTTAAATTTTGTTAAAGTTGATGCGAATGTGAGACCTACTGTAACAAGCAAAAATTCACGGAAAAGGGAGTCCCCTGGGGTGATTACTTAGCACTTTTGATTGTTATTCTCAGCTTCATATAGTGGATGCATACAATCCTCTACTTGTGAGAAGTAACCTATACAAGTGTTTATCGTCAAATGCCCTAAAAGGCAACAAGGGAAACGTTCCTCAAAGATCTGTAAAGAGAGGCTTTCAAGTCCCTCAGGTGAGCAGTTGTATATTATAACTATGAGGCCAAGTCTGAATGTTTTCAGACGCATGAAGAAGCTTGTCGCTTTCGTCGCTACCATTGCCATCATTATCATCATCAACCATCATCAGTTTCAGCATCATCATCAACACCATCATCAGCAACATCCTCACATGCATACACCATCAGCATCAAACATAAAATAAACAACTGCATTACCACCACCACCATCACCATCATCATCATCATCCCCATCGATAAATATACCAACACCATCATCACTGAATATTAAAAAAAAAAAACATCACCACCACCTTCATCATCATAAAGACAACCATTATGACTCCCCTTACCATGCTGGAAAAATTCTTTTGTTCTTCTCTCAACCAGAGATATCAGCAAGAAAACAACAATAATCAAGTTGCCGAGTCACGCCCAAATCACCTCAAACCAACTCGCGTTCCTGCTGTACCTAAACGAGTTATCTTCAGCAAAGAAGGCAACGTTAACAAAGCAACTGCTATCAAACGGTCCCGTGTTGCTCCCGCTTTAGATATCTATGTATCGAGCCCTCCTGACTTTCCAGACGACGTTTAAGATGAAGTTCTCTCTCGATGCCCTTTAATTAATTGTTGTATAAAATAATCTATTGAAGACGTGAGCACATCAAATATCATTTTATCAACAATTTACATCCGCCATGTTAAGCGTACAAATGGTGGGCCAAAAATTAAAGTTATCATCGCTTTACTGTTTACACGCGAGACTTTTTTTAACCCTTCATATTTCCTTATTCGTCATCATAATTATTCATTTACACGCTGTTTGTTGTAACGCCGTTTAAATTAAAAATAAATGAAATTGCATTAATGGTCAGCTATCTGCAAGGATAAAATAGCAGCGCTTGTGGTTGCAGCTCACATTCAATTTTTAGTCTGAAGTTTCTGTGCAAAGCATCTAAACAGCATAAAAATCCAACGAAGATCTTCATTTTTTTTATAGTAAAAAAGTGTAATTTTTTGGATATTTTAAACGAGGCTTGTGAAAGACATAAATTATTAACGCCATCACCGTCAACATTATAACGGTGGAACTACAGGTAAATGACGCATCCTCAACCCAAGTAAAACTCTCAGAGTCGTGAATACACTGTAATCTGTTCCCATTAAAAAGGAAAACTGGGAAAGTGAATGGAAAATGGGAAAAAACAAGCAAGTCATAAAACACAAGAACTCATGTGCAGTAATGAAGGAAAAGGGAAAAACCTCAAGGATGAATGCCTTAAACAARATGATTGTTTATTTGATCAAGGCAGAGCTTTATTCTAAACTTCAGAAATCACTCAAGAGCCTAGATACCTATAAACAAAAGCTCAGAAGTTCATTAAAACAAGAAGTATAGAAACAAAAGATGGATGTATGGTTCCTGATTGACACGAGACGCGAAAGAAGAGCAAACTACTTAAAAAAGGAAATAAATTTTCAAGGACATGAAAGAAGCATGAAAGAACTCCGATCCTTAGTCCTCATACAAAATATTACGAGTCGTTTATGAAAAAACTTCTCATCAAATATAAATAAAATGGTTCATTTATTTTTTAAGAGGGTAAATCATATGAAAATTGGGAATTTTTATCTAGTAAAAATTAACGTTTGGTCATAAAGGACAGAGTTGTGATACTATGCAAAATGGCAACAGAAATTAGAACGGCTGTCAAATATTATTTTTAGTATCAAACATGAAGGAAGTGTGATTATCTTTTTGGGTCAACCTTATTTTTCATATTAATGTTATATTGCATGTGCCCAATAGAATAAATAATCTTTAAATCTTTCTAAATTTRTATCCTATTAATTACTTATGATTGAAATTATTTTTCTTTTAGCCTTTGTTTTTTCAAAACGTTTTTGATATTGGCATTATGTAGAAAAATTATGACTGATGTTTTCTATAATACGTATTTAATAAAAGTGACAATTAATGTAGTGGAAACATTTGAAGTTCCCTGTTAGCAGAGTATCCCTCGTTGGCAATTCTTGTCAGAGAAAATGGGATTAAATGAGGGAAACTCTACTCTGCTAGAAGGGAACATTCGAAGGATTAATCTACAGTATTTGATTTAATCTATGTGGGAAGAAAGGAAGCTACCATCATGCCATAATAACTAGGATGCTTATTTACATAGAGATGTGACTTCCAGTTAATGCTTGTCCCACTTTTCAGCATGCCATCCAACATCACAAATCCTGTGTAACCACATGACAAGGCTTTGTCTACATACCCAGCAGCTTCTACAAGTAATACTTCTGAGTCTTGACCTGTGACCCATTTACCACATGCATTATCAAATGGTTCAGCTGCTGTTGAAAACCCATATGGACCTGACTTCAAGTGAGTGTGAGCTAGATCAGCACTGATTACCATGGCAACCGATTTGTTCAGTGAGTCAACGAAATGACGTAGATTACTACCAAGGTGGTATAACTCAGGAATCATGATGACATCATCAGTATATCTCCGACTCGGATGTGACAAAAAGACAAACTTTGTTTTACCAAGAACTTCCTTACTGAAGTAAATAGGAACAATTTCCCCCCAGCGTAAAGGAAATGGGACATCTTCCTCCCCTGGTGGGCCAAAAGCACTTAGAAATGTCACTTTATTAGAACCTTTCAAGAAGTCCACAAGTTTTGATGTCACGTCTGTATCCATGGGAACAGACAGGTTATAACAACAAGGTGGGCATACACAATTATCTGTATCTGCTGACCCATAACCTTGTGGGCTCAAATAGAAAACAAAGTCTTCTGCGGCTGAGATACCATGCGGGGTACTGAGTATAATAACATCAGGATTTAAGGATGTTATTACCTGACCTACTTGTAATGCTGCTTTATGGATCTCCCAGGCTTGTGCTTTAGCTGTTTTGTTGGTTGTATTGAAATGAAAAGGGTCCAAAGCAATACCACCTTGTCAAAGTAAAATGATTTATCAGTAGAGTGAGAGGGAGTTGACAAGCCACAGGTGACCCAAAACATATCCACCCTCTCACCATAACATGACTGCCTCACGTGATGGTGAGAGGAAATCACAGGCAACCCAAACAACTTTTCCTGTATGTGGTTTATAAGGTAATACAATTTGTTCAATTAAAAAAATTATTTCATATCATTATATATTGCCTTATAAACCATACACTGGACCCTCGTTTGGGTTGCCTGTGTTTCCAATAAATTTATTATGTTTAATAGATTACCCCCCCCCCCCCCTCCATCTTCCTCTTTAAGCCATGTAATCACGAGTTGAGAAATGAGCAAAATAGGTTTCGTTTAATATCTACTGGGTAAAGACATGTTTTGACAAGTATATATGTTTGACTACGCTGTGAGCGTAGCATTACTGTGTATTAGCAGACTTCCTAGGATCCATCAATAAAGAAACGAATCGAATTTCAATAACTTACCATGTGGAAGAATAAATGCTCCCTTAAATACCGAAACAACAGGAGAAATGGCGAAGAAAAACCAAAGTAAGGTTACGAAAAACATCTTAAATTCACTTGGTTCAAATCCACTTGATCGTCTTACAAAACAAAGAAGCAACGAGGCGTTCCACGCAGATCCCACCACAGGAACCCCAAGACTACTTCCCGACAATCTCAATTTCATCATCAATGAATCTATCGATAAATTATTTCGATGAATCATGCAATTAATTTGACGCTATAAAACATTTAGGAAGAAGGAAAATAAAATGAGTGCTGCGGTGTCAGAGTACATTTTCTCATAGCGCGCAATAGTCTAATGCGAGCGCAGGCTTTTGGGAATGATGCTATATGACATTTAGGAAGAAGGGAAATTATGAATAGTGAGGATGCTAGAAGAGTTAGTAAGAGTTTGGTGGTGTATTCAGTAGAAGATAGAGGACGTTGATCGTACTTCAGAAAAATAAGAATATAAAAAGTAATCAAAGGTTGGAAGTCGGTGTTTCACCCGCCTACAGTCCCCACAGCCATCATTACTGTCAGTGCCATATCCTCCCGGATAATAATGACGGTTGTGAAGGAGATTCGACTTCCCAAAAGATATTAACTGTAAAAAAGGTATGGTACGTGACAAGGTCCACGCTCGCGCACTTGATGCGGTTGTTCGTGCGTTGATGATAAAGAAAAGCATCCGAACCCTTGGGCTAGCACACGAAAATGTATTGTAATGTCGTTTTGTATGGCTTTTGACGTGCAATAGATCTTAGAGCCGCCGCCATCGCGTGCACAATCTGGCTGAAAGGAACAAAGAAACTTGTTTTTTTTTGTTTTTTTCCTTGGTTCTTTGTTTTTCCTTCTTTCCTCAAAATGATTTGGTGGTATTAAACATGTATGGCAATCACCGTGGCCAAAAGACTTATTCATACGAATAAGACGCATACATGTCTAGGTTAAAAAAAAGCAAAAACCGTTTAAGCCCAAAACCTGCAGAAAAGGCCTATTCACATCAGGCTTAATGATATTCTACTTGAATATTTCTCTGTTTATCGGTAGTACTTGTAACTTTAGGAAGTATCAATGATATAAAATGTTACTCAAACAAAGCATCGTATTGCCAAGAGGCATTCGTGTCTGCGATATGAAATCGGTTAATACCAGAAAGGGTAGAAAAATCAGCACATGGCTCAGATAAACCTTGGGTGGTTGGCTCTGCATGAGATCTTTATTTATTTATTCATTTTTACATCAAGTTTGCTGGCTTCTAATTCATATGAGTCACTCTGTTTTAAAGGGCCACATGCTAAGCTCTTTCATTAAGGATTTTTGAATGTACGTTTTATCTAACAGTCATCCAGACATATTAATAATCGCCTCCAGTCTATGGTAACGTCGTTTCTTAAAGTAACTATGCATTGACTTCGGTGTAAGCTGTAATATATCAATCACTCTGGGGGTAAGTATTCAAGTTTCCCTAAGGCGCTGTTTCGGGACACAAAAAGGTCACCACGTCTGAGGGCCAGAGTCATAACATGGATATACTACTGGTATGACGTCATGCCGGTTACTAATCACGTATGTATGCTACTACTGGTATGACGTCTTGCCGGTTACTAATCACGTGTATACTACTACTGGTATGACGTCATGCCGGCGTCACGTGTATTCTACTACTGAATGTAAACGTATTATATAGACGCGTAAGCTCTACTTATAAAGTTAATGATATGCTCGTGACTGTTATCTTTCGATTCTTTTACTTCTTAGAATATAGATTTATAAGACTCTTAGAACTACGATCTTAAATTTGTTCATATTTTTGGTGTTTCACCATTAAGTGAACTGAAGACCTACCTGTTCATAATGAAGCTAATCTTACCTATTGTAATAGCGCAGCGCACT